CATTGTTGTGTGGAAAGGTTGGTTGAGCCATATCTGGAAGAGATTACCAGCTAGTATAACTACAAGCAGTTTGGGCCTCTATCAAATGTGGATTAGCTATGTGGAAATCTTTTCACAGGATTTAAGCTGCGGTACTATGTAGAACTAAATTTACAAATAGAACTTTGAAAAATGGGGTTTACTTATTGCAAAGGAAGTAAGGAATTGCCGTTTGAAAATGGGTAAAGAGAGGAGCGGGGGATGTGAAATTGGCAGAGATATCTTGATATTTAATCTGCGCACCAATCCGCATTTGGTCAGGCCTAAAAACTAGACCGAACAGAAACATCGATTAGTCCACAGTTAAGATTTGAATTTTACTCTTTGTTTCATACTTTAGGGCCGAATGACCAGAGCAGATTTTTCTTTTTCTTCAGATGAAATGGCATGCCAGAACTGAAAAAATTTTGACAGGCAGGACGACCTTTCTGAGACACTAAACCTCAGCAGCCCCTTTTGAGCAGATTGGATCTCTATGTCCTAAAACAGAGTTACACCTGTCTAGTTCTGAACGATGCCTTCTAGAGGTTTTGATGTTTTACTCCTACCTTAGTATGTTTGAGCTATCTATGTCACATCGTGCAGTGAAAGAAATTAAGATTGGGAGCAGTAGCTAGTCTTTTCATGTGAAGAGAATTCGGGTTACAAACTTCTAGGTGAAGTTGTGTTTTGATGGGTTGAGTGTCGATATGTACTTGGCGATGAAATTATGGATAAACTGCAGAAAGAATTGAACTGGTGTAGCTTCCTCCAGTAAATATTCATTCAGATATGATCAAGTATTACAGCGAAAAAAGGGGCAGGAGATCAAGTATCCCTGAGAAAGATACTAATATTCTAGTTGACGAAATTAGATCATGAATAACAAATTCGTTCACTTTAGGAGTTGAGTATGTAAAGAGAAGGTTCATTATCTTTTACCTAAAAGGTCTCCACTGAAGCTTGTGCCCTCCACACTACCCTATTTTTTTTATACCAAAAAGGAACCGAGCATCATCAAGTTTGCCTATTTTTTTTTAATGATTCCATCTATAAATGCATGGGAAGAATGTGTCCTCAACAAGCAGGTAGTATCTTGCATGCTTAGCCTTCCCTTGTTTCACTGTAGTGTCTTTCCTTGTTCCCAGTCATGAGTACCCAAAACTCCGTCCAAATTGCACTTCCCAAAGGTGCTAATGACCAAAACCAGAACCAAGAACCAGGAGAGGACTTTGACTACTCACAAAGGTCCCAATGGCTTCGAGCTGCTGTATTAGGAGCTAATGATGGATTGGTTTCAATCGCATCATTGATGATGGGGGTTGGAGCTGTTAAAACAGATGTCAAAGCCATGATCCTGACTGGTTTTGCAGGACTGGTCGCTGGAGCCTGTAGCATGGCAATTGGAGAATTTGTTTCTGTTTACTCTCAACTTGAGATAGAGGTTGCACAGATCAAGAGAGAAACAGAAATGATAGAGACCGGACAGGATGAAGAAAAAAACAAGAAAGAAAATCTGCCTAATCCACTGAGTGCGGCAATGGCATCGGGTCTTGCATTTTCTTTAGGAGCCGTAGTGCCCTTGTTGGCAGCTGCATTTATAGGAGACCATAAGGTGAGGTTGGCTGCCATCATTACTGCAGTGAGCCTGGCTTTACTAGTTTTTGGATGGGTTGGGGCAGTGCTAGGGAAGGCTTCTGTAATCAAGAACTGTGCTAGGCGTTGATTGGAGGTTGGATGGCTATGGCCATCACATTTGGAATGACCAAATTAATAAGCTCCACTGGAATGAAAATATAAAATCATCAACTACCATGTCATTTTCAACCTTTTCCCGTCGCTTCAAATTATGAAAAATAAATGCAATCTTCAGCTTGAAGAAGGTTGCTGCATGTTGATCAATTAAGTTTGTGAAATGTAGAATCCTGTCCGGTCAGCGAGGTGTTCGTTTTTCTTTCCTTTTTAGTTTCACTCCTTGCTGTGACATCTTCTTGATAAATAATACTAGTATCTTGCGAATCCATTAGGAGTAGAACTCCTGGAACATCATTCCTGTAGTTACGCTTTACACCTTCATGTGGTCAGATGTCTTTCCCAATACCAGAATAGCTTTCAGTTGAAAGTAAATTCTGACAAAACCACTTAAAAAGTTAATAGCCTATTTCCAATGGTCTACATGAAATTGAGTGAAAATAAGCTTAAAGAAAAATGACAAAGGTAATGCAGATGCCAGATTAAAATGATGAACACTAACTCAGTAATAAGGAGAATTTCCTCCAAAAATATGAAAGCACTAAATATTATCGTTGCATCGCTTGCCAGTATTACCAGCAAGAGCACGAAGTTAATAACCTCATCTCAATTTTCAACTCTAATAGGGAACTGAGCCCGATATTCGTTGCTCGTGTGTTGTGCGTCCCAAGTCACCACAGAACCTGTGATTCATAATTGCAAGAACTGTTTAAAAACCATAGCAATTTATCCCCAAATAAGATGGTTCGTATAACTTTTTGTTCGTATTCGGTGCACTTTCACTCCAGCCTGCTTCCTCCCACGGGCACATAACGTGTCCAACGCAGATGATGATTCTGTTTCTATATTACCATCCCCGAGTCACATTATTTCAGAGAGTACAATTCCCAAGTTATCATCAACCCAGTAGCAGCTCCATATAGTTCAGGAGTACCAGCAACGTTCAACTCCTCCCAAGTTCTCGAAAGGAAGATCAGGTCCTGTGGTGCGTAGCATCCTGTGGTACGTAGCATCCAGACCATTATGACCAGTAAAGAGTCCATAATCCGACTGCCTGACTAACGTTAAGGTTTCACCTCTCCTCTCTCTTTTACCATGTTCAGTTATTTCATGGTGCAAGAAATTGCGTCTTCAGAAGATTTTCTTTTTCATCCGATTGTGGAGTATAAAATCTGTTTAAACTGAAGTGTTGTTCACTAAGAACGAAAGTACCAGCGATTAAAAATATGCTCCTCCCACCAAAACAAAAAAGAGCCCCAACTTTTAAGCCACGATTATTAGTATGTTTTATCTTCAATTGCGTAGGATTCTAAGCTATGCAGTTGGGGGGACTAACAGCGTATCTTCTACAGCAAACGGGCAAACAATAGGTACCACTTTCCGGGAAGAAATGCAATTTGTGCAAAACCGTCAATCATAAAAACATTGAAGAGACAGAAAAACTGCAAACTAAAATTTCTGCAGAACATAAGGTAAGGATGGAGTTAAGTGGGCTTAGAGAATAGTGGCAGGCAAGCGAGGAGAACATACAATTGTTCTTATGATTACCAACAAAAAATGACTTAGAACATTTATTCAAGCACAGAACAATTACATACAAGGAGCAACAATGATTATTTGATTACACAATCTAATCGCCCTTGCTGTTGGCATTATATCCATGAAAGTCTAATTTCATCTACAGTTGACATATCAAAACCTCACCAAACCCGCCATGACATACCAAAAAACTACGTAAATACTTGGGACTCTGTCCTTCCAATCGAACCTTTGCAGGAAAGTGAACCCAAGAATCATCATTAAAAAGAGGAGAGAAATCAATAGCCACTCCAGCAGCGATAATAAACAAGCAGATATCTGCGCTAGACAAACGAAGTTACTAATAGCGGAAAGCACAAAAAGTATAAGCAAGCACCAGGTCCAAAGCCATCTGAGCAGTAAAGCATCAACCATTAGCAGGACCGCGAAGAAAAAAAATTTGCCCAAACTCCCGTTCCCCCATTGTCTAAAAGATTAACATGAAAAATAATAAAAGATAGACCAATGGGAAAAACAAAAAAGATACACAGACAGAGAACTCTCATCACCCAACAACACAAGTTGACATTGCTGGGACAAGTCATTTAACTCGAAAATGCCGCAGTCTCAAACAGAGTTTATGAAAGGTTGATCCATCCTTGAGATTGCAAGGCACAGTTACCAAGAACCACGAACTGAAAGAGGAAAAACACTGCAACTTCGTACACATATTGACCACTGAAATATGTCTCAGCAACAAAAGCCAGGAGACTAGAAGAACAGAAAGGAAGCTCTTGTCCCAAAGAGAGTAAATCAAAGAGAGGACCAGAACAAGATCGTGGACAAAAGTTGCTGACTCCCCAAGAGTATCTAAATAACTGCCAGGATTTTAAACTGGGCATAATCCTCCCTTAGTTCACCTTGCAGAAGCTATGAGTAACTAACAGTGCGATAACTTCCAGAGGGCTTGTTGCTGTCCAAAATGCTTTCTCAATTTTATTATGTTAAAAGCCTACCCCAATTAGCAAACAGATCCACTATGTATCCAAAAGGCCAATTACGGCGCCTGCCAAAACGTTAAAAATATTAATACTGGAAACACTAAAATAGCTCACTTCATAATATACTTGATGGAAACAAACATTACCCGATTTACTCACACGTTTAAATCTTTCTTTACCAGAACATAGGACATACAGCTTGTAAGACAGCCTCTACACCTCAATTGACAGGCACACCTGAAGGTGGGGAACAAGGTTTTCCTATCACCAATTTTAAGGTCTCACCGTATGTCCTCAAACCACCCAACATAATGCAAAACTTTGTGATGTGCAATTTCCAGTGTATGAAATCATTATGCATCCAGCAGCAAATAAGGGCAGTGAAATTTCCATCAACAAAGCAGATAACCAGCAGCAATAATAGCATTCAAGAGTGACAGACCACCATCATCAGACCATATATCGAACATCTTACGAACACAAAATAGTAGAATATTAGAGCCAATTTTCATGAATTCAAAAGATTGATCCACTTTGCCAACATGCCAAGAAGACAAAATATCCTTTTCCAATATACTTCAAGCCATTTGGTTCCATCACAAGCAGCACATCCATTCTCCACTGCAACGCACATGAAAAGGAATTTTAGTACCACAATAAACCTGAGACAAAATTAACAGACCATAAAAACTAAATGCAAGAATCTAGAGAACCAAATTGATTCACATACCAATCTGTGGCAGTCAGATTCTACCCTTAGCGAAAACCTCCACTACCACGACGGTCATATGGCCCAGATCGATCACGATTGTGTCGGTCACCTCCCCCATGACCACCACCATCTCTGTTACGGCTACCAAACCGATCTCCATTCCTTTCAGGTCCATAACGCCCACCACCTCTTCCACCTCCACCACTGCCACCATATCTGTCATCTCTACCGCCATATCGGTTCCTCTACCACCATCATCAGGACATTCCCTAGCAAAGTGTCCTGGTTTACCACACTTAAAGCAGTCTCCACCACCAGATCCACGACCACCCCCATAATCACGACGATCTCGATCACGACCACGGTCCCTATCACGCGGGCGATCAATATCACGATCGCCACCTTGGTTAGGTTGTGCTTTGTCAACTGTGATAGGTCGGCCATCTAAATCCATGCCATTCATTGCATGGATGGCCTCCTCCATTGCTTCCTTTTCATCAAAAGTGACAAATCCAAATCCACGGGAGCGTCCAGAGAACTTGTCCATAACAACCTATAATTATACCAGCAATGACTGTAAAATTACAAATTTGAAAGGTCAAAAGCAGAGGTCTGAAATATGGTGCTCAGAACATTTCTCATCAGCAAAAGAATTAGTAATGTCAGATCAATACGCGACGAAGAAGACAATATCAATCTTTTTCTTCCTTTTCTCTTTCTATGGTCTTGGAAAGTGTGACACATAGAAGATAGTCAAGGAGATCATAGCATATATCAACAGGTCACTAAAAGAACAAACACATATCACAGTTAAAATTTAATATCAAAAACAAGTGATACACGGTTACCTTTGCCTCAATAAGATGGCCAAATTTCTCAAATGCATCTTTTAGACCTCGATCAGATGTTGACCATGACAGATTTCCAATGAAACAGCGATACTCCGCAACATCAGACATGTTGCAATCTGGTTTTTACTACCAAAATTGATCCATAAGAAATGGAATAAGAAAAGAAAAAATACCCAGAAAAGATCTACAGAAAAGCATAAAATAAAATTCATGATTGACCAGAACAGTTATAAATCATCAGCATCCACTGTAGTTTAACAGTCATCTTACAAGTTTAAACCCATTCTGTTACTCATAGGAAGTAGAGAGAACATCAGGATTCGCAAATTTTTTTAAACCACATGCATTTATGAACTGATCAAGACAGAAATTTAAGTTCTGTACATCTTAAAATCAGAAAAAGCATATTCACATCGTATATCATAGGTCAAACATCCTCCAACAGTTGCTACCACATGCAAAATAATACAACAAAAAAATTCCAATTCCAGATAACGGTTTTAGCCAAAGATATGGTCTTACACAGCCAAGCGGAATGGAGACAGCAAACTATTGTTCTGCCTTGTACTAAAGAGTACCCTGTGCTCCCCATAATCGTGGGATAAGCCAATAACGGACAGGTTTATGACGAATAACTTAATAAAAAACACTATTGTTCCCACCATCCCTACAACAATTAATTCTTCCAGATTAAAAAAATTACCGTACCCTTATCTTTAAACATGCTGCAGAGTTAAAAATCATACACATGATTTTTAATAAAATCCCAGAAAATTGAAAAAAAAAAAAAAAAGAAAACAGATAACATCGCAAGCCCATCGACAAGAACCACACCGTTATCTCTAATAGTTATACAATCCAATTTCCATCAACCCTTTTCTACCCCTCATCTCCATAGACCCATATTCGAGATACATGGCACACTAGATTATCAAGCCTTAATTAAATCAGATCTAACCACAATTTCCATTATTCCTTTTTCCAGGTTAAAGAAAAATACAGATTGAAATTTAACGGCTAAAAATAATGAAGCGGGCATCAATATTACAGTGTATAAGATGTACATATAAGATTTAGAGCAAGTGGTTTGAATCAGATGAACTTACATAGAAAACTATACGAAGCTTTTTGAGTGCTTCTGGTTTGCTTTGCTTTGCTTTGCTTTACTTTAGGGTTGAGAACGCAGAAATCAGAAAACGAAACCCGAATAATTTTTCTATTTATTCCGTATTTATCTGCCAGGTACTCCTATATTGATCTAGTGGAGCCAGTTGTATATCAACAGTCGTTGACCCGGCCTTCATTTTATTGACCGCAATTGACGACTGACGGGTTGATCGCAACCGTTGCTGTGATAGTTGGTGGGCCCTATTGTTTCCCGTGACAGTTGGCACTACTGGATTTGTTTGGGTAACACAGTATTTGCAATAGAATTATTTGCTACATTTTTATTTTATGTACATCATATCATAAAAATATTACAATAAATATTTCAAACAATCCCCACTCCAAACTTACTCCCTTATTTTATAGCTTTTCTAGCATATTGAATTAATTGCAACATGCTTTGTAAAACTTTTAATTTTTGTGACTGTTCGCATAAACTCCTGTCATTTAAAGAATGTATATAAAATAGGAAGAGGGTGCCAAGTTAGGATCGTTCTCCTCCATAAACTCCAAAAGGGTTTAGCATGTCTATATAAAAGTATAAAATAGCAAACGTGCATCTGCTGTGACTAAAGTTGCAAACGAATCGAATCACTCGCGAGTCAATCGTGAGTGGCTCAAGTTCGAGTTCGACTTGAGTTCGGTTAACATCAACCTCGAGTCGGATTCGAGGTGATCAAATCGAATTCGAATTCAAAAATATTAAATTTGTTAACTCGCGAGCCGGCTCAAGTTCAATTATATATTTTTTAAATTTTTATTTTAATAGTAAAATATATATATCATAATATTTTATTATTTGTTAAGAAAAATTATAATTTTATTAATTTTTTAAAATAAAATTTTATTTTTTATTATTTTTTTTAAGCTGGAGCTCGACTCGAATAATTTGAACTTAATATTTTGAGCTCCTTTATTTTGTAGTCAATATCTAAAAATTTTCATACTTCATTACATCCATCCAAAAAATGGCTCCTTTTGTTTTTGAAACTTATTTTTACTCAACTTACCTATCTTCGTTTGATTTCTTTTTAGGTGAAAATATGAGCAGGAGGTGATGGTAATTTTACTAGAGGCTTTAAGATTTTAATTGATTTACTTGTAAAACCTTCAAATTGAATAGCAAGAGGTATATCTATACTTCCTTCGTAGTTTGCCTCAATGCACTTGATTATACAGATATACTACGGGAAATTCTATGTAAAAAACTCCACAATTAAATAAATTTTTTTCTTAACTTTCACCCCTTTTGTTTGCCTAAACAAAGTATGAAAGAACTTCATTATGTAGTTTATTTTCAATATTCTTTTAACTTCAACATGCTGATATTTTTTCCTGCCTATAAGTTGACATGTAATTGATCTTTTGGAGGTGATGATTTGATGAAAATAGAGGGATATTTTCTTGAGAATTAGCAATCAGTAGTTGCTTCGAGTTTGTCTGTTTTTGAAACCAATCATAACTACTTCTCCATCTCTTTGGTATTTATGCTATTAATAGTTTTATCAATATTTTAAAAACGTGGAGTTTCATTCTAATCACCACATTGAGATAAGCAACCTACTTCAGGATACATGTCATTTGGGTCGATTTAGGTAGTGATGAACTACCATCTATTTGTTTTGATGTCATCTAGTTAGATTGTGCTATGTCACTTCCCCTGCTATCCCAGGATTTGAACTTGTTGCCTCCACTAGAGCATTATGGCTTTCAACCCTACTTTTACAGCAAAAAGGAAATTGTGTATTCAAAAATAGAAAGAAAAGGAAAAGTTAGAGAAATTGACTAGGAATTGAATATATTAGTGAAAAAAATTTGAGTTTCATTTAAGGTGATTCTCAGTATGTTCTTCCCAGCATTAGTGAAAAAAATTTGAGTTTCATTTAGTCGGACCGAAGGGCAGATACCTCCTGTGTTGACAAAAAAAAAATCGTAAAATTTTTTCTGCCAGCAATGTACTAACTTGCCCAACCCGGGGTAACTCGAGTGGCTCGTTGCTCCTCTTTAGGATATGGCGACCACGGTTCGAGTCCCGGGGGTAACGCGTTTGAGGGGAATGGACCTCTCCTCTCGGGTCGCAGGGGGAATAGTCGAGTCGAAGGCGGGATACCCCTGTGTAGACAAAAAAAAAAAGGGTAAAACTTTTTCTGCCAGCAATGTACTAACCGAGTGGTTCACCTTTTTGGTTTTTTGCAAGGGGTGAGGGCATTTTTGCTTGCATGGTACTGGATAATTATCCTATTTACCAAGCTTTTATTCTAGTAAGCTTTCTTAATACAACCTGAGAACCTAAATTGTATTCCACCCTGTTTTTTAAGGAAATGATCTCTCTCCCTCTCTCTGTATTAGACACACACACTACACCTTGTTTTTTTTTTTTTTTTTGTATTTCCTTCTATAGTTTCCTTTTTTTTTGTTTTTAAATAGACTAATAGGTCATTTATATTATTTTCTCAACACTATCAAATGTTCAAATATGTTAGAGATGTTACCTTGAATTTGTTGACTTGATATATGATGAATCAAGAAGCCAATTATATTTTAAGAAAATGCCATGCACCTGCTCAGATTAGAAGTTGGAGTAGTTTTAGTGAAAAATGTTGTTCACATTTTGGTTGTTGATTATTACAGAAATTGACTACTTTCACATTGCTAGCGATTTTTAAGTGAGTAAAGAAATACCTTATTCTAGCAAATTTATGGCGCACTACTTGAATCAATCAACTTTTTATTTTATTTCTTTTGAAAAAAAGTTTTGATAGTTATTTTAAGTGAGTTAAAAACTGTAGCAGCCCCCTGAATAGCTCTTTTTTTATTTTTAAAAAAATTAGATTGCAAATAGAACTTGGAAAAAGACGAATACGTGACACATAGGAGGCAGCTTGTGAGGTCCAATTGAGAGGTAACTCAAATAGGAAGCAAATTATTAAATGTCTAAAAGTAAATTGGGTAATATCGATCAATTTTTTTTAATTTTAAAAAAATTTTAGTAGGGGATAGATATGATTAAGAAGTGGGACGGGGACGGAGGAAATTAAGCTGAGGACTTGCTCAAAAAAAGAAAAAGAAAAAGAAAAAGAAAAAAAATCGATACTTGTTAATGATGATTGCTTGCTTGGTGAGTTCTTCTTAGGTTCCGTTTGATAAATTGAATCTGAATTCTGAAGTCTGAATTCTGAAATCTAAATACTGAAACAATTAATTTGCTGAAGTTTAAGCATTGAAAAAAATATATGAATGTCTGAATTTTAATGCTAAACCTATTTATACTGTTTGATAAATATTTATAGCTACAATGCTTAATAAGTTTAACTTGACAATTTTGCCCTTATATCCTTTCATTCAAAAAAGAAATAGAATTTATGATTTAATTAGTTTAAAATTGTTAGGTCTGAAAATGACAATATTTATTTTTAAATCAAATTAATATAAAAGATGAAATATATTATATGAGGAGTATGAAAAAGATGTGAAAGTCATTAAAAAGGGAGAAAAGAGAAACTAAAAATTGTTAGATAGAAAATATTATGTTATTTAATTAGATAAGAATTTTGAACATAGTTAACAAACAAGGGTAGATTTGGTAGATAAGATAAGGTAGTTGAAGTAATTCTATTAATTCTTATCAGAATTAAGCATTCAGTTAGGATTTTTGTGCTGAAAAAATACACACAGGTTCAGCACTGCTTAACAAGTTCAGCCACAGCCAGGTGTGCGACCCGGGTCGACCAACGGATTAGTCAGGCAAAGCCCTGGATACCGTGGCAGGCAACCAAAAAAAAAAAAACAAGTTCAGCAAATAGATTTTCATTTATCAAACACTCAAAATATCTGAATGTTTGAAAAAATTCAGATTCAGCACTTTTTTATGTTATCAAACAGGCTCTTAGTTCTTTTGTTTTCGGCCGGCTTTAAAACAATCGATTACCCTTTGTTAAAAGTTTAAAACACAAGTTGAATTTTTTTTTATTTTGGTATCAGTGGAGCTCTAAGTTTGGATGTGCCTTTCTTACTTTCTTTTCTTCTTTTCTTTTATCTCTCTTTTTTTTACTACAAATGACAATACTAAAGTTGTTACCTAAACAATTAAGGACACATGTAAACGATAAAACGCTATTCCTTTCTAACCACTCTAAATGAGATTGAAAACTATAACAGTACACTTGTGACCTTTTTCTTTTTTTTTTTTAAGTCACCTTTTTCTCATTCTTTTTTCTTTTTCAAAATCACATCGTACCCTCTAGAATTAAATAAAAAAAATAACACTTGAAAAAAAAAAGAATAGGTATCCACGCTATATGCACACATCTCTAGATATATATATATATATTCATACATTGTGGTAGTATAAATTCTTGTCTGGTAGAAATGTTCCCAAACAACGTTGAGTGGCTAAAAGATAGGGAACCAGCGTATCTAAATTCTAGATATTTTCATAATTTGTAGTATTTATTTATTTATTTTACATTAGTACTTTATATCTGGAATCACATTTCAGATTCATTGTGCATCCATGTATATTCAATCTTATATTCATTTTTTACACATATATATTATCCATCCACAAAAAATGCGTATTTGTATAACCCTCCTCTGCATGGTGCAATATCATATGTGAGGAGTTTAAATAAAACATGAGTACAATACTTTCCGAGTGACATGTGATGGGTAAAGCTTAATGTGGATGGAGCTTCAGCAAACAACCCTGGTTTGGCCGGAGCTGGAGGCCTAATCAGAGATGGAAACGGATGTTAACTTGTTGGTTTGTGCTCGAACCTAGGATTAGCCAGTAATAGTGCTGCAGAACTGTGGGCCAGTAATACATGGTCTACAGTTGAGTTAACATGGAAGCTGGGACATAGGAAAGTTGTATTAGAGACTGATTCGTTCGTTGCGATGAAGCTGATTGAAAATTCCCCAGTAGAGAGCCCTTAATTTTTTTTTTTTGGGTAAATAAAGATGCATTAAAGTAAAAGTCAAGTCTACAAAGTGGAAGTTAAATTACAGTCATCCGTGGGTTGGTAACACCCTTTAAGTCTTGCAAAAGTAAGGAAGGACAAAATTAGGACATAATTCAAAAAAGATGAAGTTTTGAGAGCTGCTTCTTC